TATACTATTGTTGTTGTTCATATTTAAACCTGTCATTACATTTTCACTTAATTTAAGGAGCTGAGATTTCCCCTCCTCCAGTTTAGTACAAATTTCTCACCCAGTTTACATTATCCTTACCCTCAATACAGAGAAGTAGCAGGCAGAGAAAATACCTCTGGGAGATCATCTTGCTAGGTCCTGGACTGTGCTGATCAGAGCATTGTAGGAGGAGGCAACATTTATAACTGCAGCACAGCGAGGAAATAACTTGGGTTGCTGTATGCAAAGTTTTTGATCTATGTAAATATAATTGTGCACTTACGGTTGCTATCTCTGGAGGAACAACGTGGATGGTTGCTGAAGGCTGGATTTGCCTCTGCAGGAAGAAATGACCTTGTCAGAAATAACATGAAGAGCTGTCAGTGCTAAGCAGTGATTCTTCCATAGGGAGAGAATCTGTGATTTGGTTGCACAATTGCATGGGCTCCCCAACTCCGCGTAAAGCCGGAGCAAACAGCATTTATTGAGTGAGGTGTGTGATTGAGAGAGAGAGAGTGAGGAATCTTCCAGCACACAGGAATGGGTGAGCACATCCGAACAGCCCTGCCACTGCTATTCAAACCCTTGGGCTTTCCAGCCCAGTGCTCCCCACCTTACGGGGTTCTAGTAGAAGAGGTTGGAAAAGTTAAAAACAGTTCAGTGAATAACTGACAATTACAATCATAGGCATGGGAACTAGGGTTGTGGGGGGTGCTGCAGAACCCCCAGGTTTTGTGCAGGATCCTGGCCGCCGACCCCATACCCAGGGTCCCGGCGCCACCAGCCCCTCACCTGGGGCTTCGCTCCTGGCCCCACGCCAGGGGTTCTACTTCCAGCTCCAGCTGTGGTCCCAGCCTCAGCCCCCTTACCTCTGTCCACAGCCCCCCACCCAGGAGTCACGGCCTGGTCCTGACCCCTGCTCTGGGCAGAGGGTGCACAGACGGGGTATGGTGGGGTGTGAGGTAAAAATAAATTAAAAAAAATTTAAATAAATTAATGGAGATATCCCATCTCCTAGAACTGGAAGGAACCTTGAAAGGTCATCGAGTCCAGCCCCCTGCCTTCACTAGCAGGACCAAGTACTGATTTTGCCCCAGAACCCTAAGTGGCCCCCTCAAGGATTGAACTCACAACCCTGGGTTTAACAGGCCAATGCTCAAACCACTGAGCTATCCCTCCCCCCCCAAGGTGTCCCCAAACTTTTTAAAGAAAAAGTTTGGGGACACCTGGTTTTCAGCACCCCCACTGTAAAAAGTGTTCCAGCGCCACTGATTACAATGTCATTTGCATTCTGACATGGGAGGATTTTTTATTTCTTTTATAAATTCTGTAGTCAAAAAACCAAAACAATTAAACAAACAGAGGAACCCAACAATATTTGCTGATGCATTTCCTTAGCCATCATCTGACCCTGCTTCTATAGCGTGAGTACAGAGATCATTAACTCTTTTAAGTTGACCATTAGCTCAGCTTTAGACTATATTTCCTTACATGAAAATCCCCAACTTATGGATGCCTGATCCAATTCTAACTGGCTTGTGTTCGGCACTCAATGGATCCAATTTCACTGCTCAGTAAGGACCAGTTCCTGTTGAACCCAATGATGAAATCTCTGTTGACATCAGTGATAAGCCCAAAATATTCTTAAAAACTCAGTGCTTCATGTGCACATAGCTGTGATGTAGATGTTTATTGTGAAGCTTTGGTACATTTGAAACTGAATTTGTGTTTCAAGTGCTCTGTCATCAAATCACTCTTCAATAGCACAGGTCACTGTGGTCAGTATTTGTTGTTCAGCACCTGGCAAGATTGTTCCTTAGTCAGTAGAGTGAGGAATGTTTCTAGCTGATAGGAACAACTGTGTTCTGCGTGTGAGATCTTGAAGCCCAAGCGCATTGAACAGGTGTATCTAACCTGATGCACTTTTGGAAGCGGGAAGGATCCTGGCACAGCAGGACTTCTGGGCAGACACTGTTTTGGCCTCAGATGCATGTGGAGTTCCAGTCTATGACTGGCACATGCAAAGCATGAGCAGATCTGAGATCAGAATCACACGCCAGCGGTTTCTGCTCTACGTATTTTGTGCTTCACTCATACACATGCGTCACTGGGAACCCCAGGGTTTATTGTGAAGACTCACAAACATAAGTCTTGTATTGAATTTTAAGATAAACTTCACCCTTGGAGCCTGGCTCTCCTTTGCTTTGCCCGTGTGCTGTCATTACACTTGTGCCAAGTGAGCGATGCTGGTGGAAAGCTCTACCCAATCTGAAGAGCAGTGTTTGCCGCACACATTGCACTGGTGTAAACCAGGACACAGGATGAAAAGTTGGGGACAATTAGGCCCCAAGGGACAGACTGTGAGTTGCGCAAAACTGCTGTTGGGTACAGCAGAGGTGGGGCTACCAGGAAGGAGGTAGCCACTCCATGCTGCGTGGCCCCAGCACAAGTTAGAGCAGTCTGGGAGCTGCTTTAATTTATGCCAGCTGTCTGTGCTGAGTGGCTGTCTGTTTAAAGTGGTAACATGCAAAACAATGGATCGATCTAACCGTCGCTCTTTGTGTTTCATGGTGCATATCGCCTTAGATCTGATTTGGCTGTATGATGCCTGTAATGTGTCTGCTACCCATTGGTGATTAGCCATGTACACACTGTACTGCTGGGAGAATTAATGTTCCCATGGTGTCTTCTAGTGATGATAATGGGGCTCAACTTAATTATCACAGATTTTTAAAGAACTCGTATTTATAGGACATCAATCCCTGAGAATGCATATTGGAAGAGATGGGTGAGAACAGAAGAATTGAAATTGGGCCAGATTATAGTACAATTAAAACTACAACAACAACACCTTAGAATCTTTCCATGGGCATTTGTTTTTCCAAACATAAAAATATTGTTGGGTTCTTCTGTTTGTTTAATTGTTTTGGTTTTTTGAAACTTTCCCCTGACTACAGCGGGCTTTGAATCAGGCCCCTAACTCCTCTGGTCCCAATGCACAAAGTCAGTCACTGCTCTGAGAGTAGCAATGCTGAGCATAGCTTTTAAGAGTGCTAGCTGAGATCTCTACGGCTGTCATGGTCCAGTGACAGTAGTAGGGTAATGATCACCATGTAAAATCAATACAAAGTGTCTAAAGGTTCTGGACAGAGGGTAGGAGTTGGCAGTGAGAAAAGGCAGAGATATGAAAGAAGGAAAATGAGAAGAGAGAGGAGAGGTCTCTCAGGCAGCAGACACAGTCGCCTCTGCACTCTCCTGGGACTAGAGGGGAGTTCCCTTTTGTGAGCTCAGTGCTGTCTGCAATGAAGAGACAATGAGGAAACTGAACCTGACAGTGGACACAGCCCTTGGAAATGAGCAGGGACAAAACCAGTCAGAGACTTGACATACTGGGAAGAGAAAGAGCCAGTAACCACGCACTGATAGGAAGAGGTGCATTGAACATGTAGTTGCTACAGTGGTTCCCAGTGTGCTTATACAACATTGAAACTATGATGAACATTGATCATGTATGTTGCAAATCATGTTTAAAAATAGGTTTCTGTCAGCTCTAATTTTCTAGCAAGGTCTCCATGTAATGTCGCTGCAATGAATGGAAAAACATCATACTTCAAAATAACATTAAGATCTTTATAGGGCAAGACTTAGGTGGATTAGACTTGGGATCCAGGTAAGAAGCAAGTGAGTAAATGCTTGTACTCTGCTTTGAAGCTGTGAAGTGCTGTATAAGGTCTAAAATTATTGTTATACTTGGGTGCACTCCAGTAATACTGCAGTCATGTAGATGGCATGGACATGTGAATCTCTGTTACTGCACTGAGGGGTATTTTCTGCTCCAGTTCAGTTATTAGAAAAGATCATTTTAGCTGACACCTGCTCTAAGATGAATGGTCATTTCCCTTAGCAGTTCATTCTCAAGTAATGCTTTTAAATCAGCGATTAAGGAACATCACCGAATCCGCATTTTTTGTCCAAAAAACCCACAACAACATTTCAGTCAAACATTTTTTTGTCCAGCTCTATGGACTGCAATAGGGCTGTAACCCCAGCTCACCCCCTGCACGGGGGTTTGTAGCCACAAGGCTCATGTTAATATGGGCCCCAGTTCCAACTTAACCTGTCCCCTTCTCCCTCCATTTAATCACCTTCTCAGCAGTTGCCCATCCCCATGCGGTGGAAATCCCATGTTGTGGGGCCTAGAACAGCCATAACAGCCTTGGCTCAATGTCACCCTAAAGGTACGTCAATACTTGCGGCGTCGTGTGGCGTACAGACACTGGATACCCAGGTAGTACAGGTATAAATAGCAGTGTAGACAGCAAATCACGGCTTGGGTGAGTGGAGTAGAATATCCTACATACCTGAACCACCAGAGTATGCACCCTTCACAGTCTTTCTCCTGGCCCAAGCAGTGCCTCCTAAGTCTATACTGTTAAAAATACCAGTGTAATGTTGCACTGCCCACCTGCTGCAAGAGCCTTTCCCCACAGCCTACCCAAGCCAGACCCTTTCTTCGCTGCAGTGAAAGGCCCCAGCAGTGGGGAGCTGGTGGAGCTTTCCCTGCTGCTGGAACCTTTTACTGTGGCGCGTAGCTACAAATGTAGTGCCTGTGATCTAGATGCCACCATAAGTGTAGACACAGCCTATGGGAATGTAGTGCTAATAATCATGGTTCCGAAAATACTAACAGAGGATTCTTCATCTGTGCAGGGGATCTGGAAGACGTGTGCACAAAGGAAAAATATTGTTCATTTTACAAACAATTCAGTAGAAATTATTTTGGGAGGCCATCGGGTTCTAGTTAACGTGACTGTGTGATATTGGGATTGGCTGGTGTACCTCGATTACTTCCTGTACAGTGCCTGCCCCTGCTAATTCAGAAAACGATTTCAGAGGAATAAATCCAATAATCGGAAAGTCCAATGGGAGGCTTCCGCTGTAGGGATGATTCTCATTAGAAACTTTGCACATGCATTCGTTTAGAAACAACTGCAGATGTTTCCTTCTGCTTCATGCCAAGAAGGCTGCAGCACTAATGAGGTTTTTGCATTGAGTTGTATCACTGTGAACGGGGTTGTATAGTCCTGCTGACAGTAATATTCACCTTCATCATCAGCCTGCACCCCACTAATGGTGAATGTGAAGTCAGTGCCGCTGTATCGACCACTGAATCGATCGGGGACCCCAGTGAAACGGTTGGTGGCATGATAAATGAGGAGCTTCGGAACCTCTCCTGGTCTGAATCGATATAGGTCCATTTCATTGCTAATGGAGCTGGATGCCTTGCACTGAATGGTGACCGTTTCTCCTGGAAGCACCGTCACAGAAGCAGGTGTCTGAGTGATAACAATCTGCCCACTGGATTCTAGGAAAAGAGAAATAAAAACCCTTTCCCTGAATCTCTTATCAAAACAAGTGGCAAGAAGTTCAATGAATGAAGAGAGCTGTGTTACCTACCTCCAAACACAGAGAACAGCAGCCAGAGCAAATGCATTTGTAAAATCATGTTCCTTCTAGATCAGTTTCTTTGACACTAATCGTTAAACTGCAGCACTGGTTTATTACCACTGGGAAGAATTTTAGAATTTATTAACTGTCACGTATGGAAAGATATGTAAATCAGATACTGGGCTAAATTATATTCAATAGCTTCCTGTGTGCTTCGGGGCTTTATTATCAGGAGGAAACAGCTGACTGTCGATCTGTCTCATTAAGCATGAGAAATGTTAACAGGAGATGTGTGTGCACAGTCCTAGTTAAATGGAAATAATGCAGCGGATTTAGTGACTCTAGCTCTTTAAGACTAGAACACTCTGAGAAATCTAGAGCTGTTTACTGGAATTTTCTAACGTATATACAATAAGAATAGATTAATTGTTAGTGATTTCCTATAATTTGCTTGCTTTAGTTAGTAAAATAAAAATTACAGGTTCTGATGATTTACGTTGCCCAGGAGAATGAAATGATTGTGAAATGAGTAGAATTTGCCCAAGGTCCCACGGCAGATCTGCAGTAGAGCCAGGAAGAGAATTCAAGACTCCCTAATCCAGGACAGAGACTTCTACACACCTGTTGTTTGTGTACAAGTCATTTTACTCAGGCAGTTTGATATAGAGATAAATATATCTTTATGGTCAGTCGGACGTGATCAGATAACATGGTGCTGGGTGCCAGGTGAGAACATGTATGTGGCTAGAGTCCGATTATTGGTTATTATTTTTACAACACTCCAGTGTATGCTAGGAACTTTACAGAATAGATAGAAAGACCTGGGTCTGGACCAGGAGAGCATACAGTTTAGCATGGGAAAGATCCATGGGTCTTTGTACATGAGAAAGAGATGCTTTATCTTCAAAGGACCCGATCCTGCAGTCCTGACTCAGGCAAATTCACATTGTTTTGAAGAAGTGTTTTGCCTCTGTCAAGAAGCTGGGATTTGCAATGATCAAAGGTGTTAAAAAGTTAGCAAACTCTGAAAGGGCCTTGCTATAGCCACCCACCCCACATATCTATCCCACCCTCATTTTATATCAAGAGTTCTATGATCACAAACTTTCCATTTGTAGTTTCACATTCTCTCTGCTTAGGGAAGTACTTCCTTTATGTTAGTGCCTGGGAGCACAGTCCCTTTGTGGTTGTATTCTGGACTCACACTGATTCCAAAGAGTTTTGGATCAGGGCCTTAGGCTGGATTTTAAATGCTTTTCAGTTTGTGAGCATAAATAAAGCGAGAGCCAGGACAGTAGAATATTCAAGTTTATTCCTACCTCTACATACACTGTCTCAGCAAGCACTTCTTGAAAGTACCGTTCTTTGAGTTCCTAGACATATTGGGTAATTTGTTCCACTGCTCCGGCTGGGTCAGATGTGATGGAGATATAGCGCTGGGTGGCATCAGCATTCTGAATGTGCTCCTTAGTTACCTCCATTGAAGTCAATGGCAAAACTCCCACTGACTTCAAAAGAGCCAGGGATTCACAAAGGGGACACTGACAGGGATTCTGCAGTCTGAGTTATCACAGTCTGCCCACAGGAGCCTAGCTAGATAGAGTGAATGGAGAAATACAGAGAAAAAATGTGGGCATAAGCTACTAAACTCAATCTTAGATCTTAGAACCAGTTTTCATTTGAATGACTGAGAAGCATTTTCCTTACTCTGAGCCCAGAGAAGCAGTAACCAGAGACAGTGAGTGAGAACTGTCATCTTGGAGGTCTTCACTGATAGATCCTAGAGAAAAGAACAGGAGTACTTGTGGCACCTTAGAGACTAACAAATTTATTTGAGCATAAGCTTTCATGGGCTAAAACCCACTTCATCGGATGCATGCAGTGGAAAATACAGTAGGAAGATATATATATATATATAGAGAGAGAGAGAGAGAGACAGACAGAGAACATGAAACAATGGGTGTTACCATACACACTATAATGAGAGTGATCAGTTAAGGTGAGCTATTACCAGCAGGAGAAGTGACTCTAACCTGGAAAGAGAACTGTTTATAGCTGCCCAGCACAATAGAGGAATGTCAGGTGCTCTGTAAATATGCAAATGGATATGGATCCATATGATACCCAGTCTCTGTATTTCACAGCACATATCACCTTACATCTTACTTGGGTTTTTTATTCCTCCTAGCATCCCTCACAGGTCAGACTGCTGGAAGGGTTGGTGTTCACACAGTGCCCTCTAGTGGTAATAATGGGGCACATGATAATTTTCACAGCTGTTTAGCAACCTCATATTTGAAGAGCAGTGACCAAACACACATTGGGAGGGGAAAAAATGAAAGGGAAGTATGGTTTTAAAAATTGGCCCAGATTATGATAATGTAAACCCCCCCTTCCCGAAGTGACCAGATTGGGCATTACATGCTCCCTAGGACCATTTCTTTTCCATAACTGCACAGAACTAGTTGTTTTTGCTTGGATCAGTTTTAATCAGATCTGCCTCCTTCACCTTAGCTGATAGGAATCAATAAATGAAACTCACTACGTACTGACTGTATATGGATTAAGGCAGCAAGGTGAGGGGTTTTTTTAAAATCTGACTGCTGATTCACTGGATATTAAGCACATTAATCTTTAATGACCTGTAATTATTAGGACCGTTGAGCAGTATCAGATATTGATTTGTTTATTGGGAGTCCTGCACCTATAATGATAGATCAAGGGGAGAGACATAGGTAATATTTCCAAAAGCACCTAAGGGTACCTCTACACTGCAATGAAAAACCAACAGCAACGAGTCTCAGAGCCCGGGTCAGCTGACTCAGGCTTGCAGGGTTTGGGTTGTGGCATTAAAATTGCAGTGTAGACCTTTGGGCCTGGGTTGTAGCCCAGGCTCTAAGACCTAACCCCTTTGCAGGGTTTCAGAGTTGGGCTCCACCCTGAGCCTGAAAAGCTACACTGCACTTTTGAGTCTCGCAGCCAGAGTCCCATGAGCCCAAGTCAGCTGACCCAGGCCAGCCGTGGCCATTTTGCAGGTTTTTTATTGCAGTGTAGACATACCCTAAGGTTTAGGAGCTGATTTTGGATGGGACTTTGCCTTCTAAGGTCCAGTTCTTCAAAGATATTTAGGTGCCTTACTCCCTTAGTCACTTTTGGAAAAGTTCCCTGTGAGCTCCTGGCAGGGATAATGAGGTTGGGTTTGCAGACTCAAACTTGGAAAGTCAGTTTTGCTGAGATTCATGAAGCTCCTGAGAGAATGTCGCTGTACAGCCAGCTACCTTGCTTCTTTCTATCTGGGGCTTCTGAGCCCTTGAAATCTGGCGTGAACTTTCTGGCAAATCAGGCCTCATGTCTGCTTGTCCCCAAGAGCACAGAATCAGCGACGCTGCCAGAAACAGCAGTGCTCCGTGACAGAGACGTTGTTTTTAAAGATGCCAGTTGGGGTTTCCATGGGAAACATGGCTCAGTGACAGCGACAGCATAAGAATCCACTTGTAAAGTCTATTGAAGGAGTGAAGGTGGGTAAGGAAAGGAAAGACGGGTGGGGAGGGAGGGTATGAGAGAGGGAAAGAGAGGAAAGATTGCAGGTGTCTTTCTGGCACCACCCACAGTCTGGGCCCCACCTGAGCCATGCTCCTGGGACTAGAGGGGAATGCCTATTTGAGGATCATTGAGGAAGCTGATGGATCAGCCTTGCGAATGAATATGGAGAAAACCTGTCTGAGGCTGGGCTCATGAGAGAGAGAAGCAGCAAGGCAGGGAAATATGAAGCAGTGTAGTGCAGCTTTCCAATATATACACTGGAAGAGATTGCAATGGACAGTAACGACAATGCTCCATAGGAGATGAGAAGTATTAAAAATGTGTGTAGAGAATTGATCATTTATATTGCAAATCAATTTTAAAAATCAGATTCTGCGGGTTTGTTTCTTAGCAAGGGCACTCACGTGACGTTGCTGTATGAATGCAAAGAATAAAATAATTCAGAATAATATTAAGAGTGTTAAAGGGCATCACTTCAGGGGGTTAGAATTGGGATCGAGTTGCAGTATTAGATGCAATTGTTTCTACTGTGCTTTGAAGCTCAAAAGTGCTAGATAAGGCCCAAGGATTATTAAAGGGCACTAAGGGAAGGGAGATGATATGGATAGTAGGTGTATGTGAAACTTTGCTACTGCACTGGATGGTCTCTCCTGCTGCCGTTCATTTACTAGACTAGAGAATGTTAGCTGACGCCTGCTCTAAGATGCATGTTCATTTCCTTTAGAAATTTATCTCAAGTTAGTGTTTCATTATACATTGAATAAGAAACATCCCCATCTGGTCTCATATGCACCAAGAGGGCTCTGGGGCTTAAGAGGTTTTTGTATTGGACCGTATCACTGTGTGAAATCATAGCCATAGTCATGTCCACAAAAATATTCTCCTGCATCTTCAGCATGAAAATGACTGATGGTGAACGTGAAGTCAGTTCCTCTTCCACTACCACAAAACCGATCTGGGACCCCTGGGAAGCGGTTGGTTGCATGATACATGATGGGCTTGGGAGCTTCTCCTGATCTGAATAGATATACATTCATTTCATCATTAACGTTACTGTCAGCCTTGCATTGAAAACTGACTGGCTCTCCTGGAAATGCGGAGACCAGGGGTGTCTGAGTTATCACAATGAGTCCTTCTGAGCCTAGAAATGGGAGAAATTAGAAGCTTTTAGTGACTATCATTTTGAAACAGCAGAGTTAAAATAATCTTTTAAAATGTACCACTTACCTTCACCCAAGAGGCAAAGGAGCCAGACCAGATACATGTGTAAAACCATGCTGTGTCTCTGTTGTGTCTTCAGTGATGGGTCAAATGAATCCAAGGCTGCTAACCACTCAGCATTATTTAAGAAATACACTGAAATCTCGTTATGGAAAGATATGTAAATCTGCAGCTGGCTCGTTATGCTCAGCTGACTTCCTTGTACTTCATACCTGTACTTTCAAAAGGAAACAGACGTCTGTGAATCCCAATAACGTCAGACATTATTAACTGTCCCATCAGTTATAAGTGCTATTTACCTCGTATGAAGTAAATGCGGCATAGGATTAACTCAGTATGTGTGGTAGTGAGACACCGGTTCTCTGTTCCTAAAGCATAAGTACTGCTACTGTTTGTGTTACGATAGCAACTAGAAGCTCCAATCAGGACAGGCCCCTCATAGTGTTAGGCACTGTCCAAACACAGTGTTGAAGGTGATTCCCTGGTGCAAGGAGCCCTAATTTAGTTGACGGGAAGTTGCGACAGTGGATGTAACAAACAGTGGGAAAGAGCCGGTGAGACGAGCCAAGGGGAACAGCAGTTAGGGCAGGGCTCAGTGTAATTGCTATGTGCCCAGCTAGCTAGTGAAGGAGTTACAATGAACCCCACATACTGAGGGAAGGATTCCCAATAAACCTACTGGTGTGAATTCAAAGCACTGTCTGTTTCCTTACAGTGAGTGATCCCTGTAATTGGATGTCGGGTCTTAGCTCATAGGAGAGAGAGCCCACTGGCACCTCGTTTCTGAGATAAAATTCTGTTACCAAGAGACATTTGCTACCCTTGTTCCGTGCAGAGAATTGCCATGGCTATGCAGAGGATTTCCCCCTGCCAGAGGAGTGCAGGGGGCACTTTAACACCCCCCCCCCCCCGCAACTTAAGTCAGAAGGTCAAGTGAAACCAGGGTGTTGAAATAACCGTTTCTCTGCCCAGAGCTGCCAGAGGCTCCCTGGGAATTAATTTTGAAAAAAACTTGGAGCCTTGGTTCAGAGGCAACCTCACCAACCTCCCCATACTCCCCCACTGCCCCTTCACATGACTCTCCCCCTCTCCCAAACCCCCAGCGTCTGCTACTACACACAGCCCCCTTCACCTCCGTTACGGGCTGTGGCCCCATCCCTCACTCCCCTTCCCTCACCCACACTTCACTTCTGACAGGACTTTAGCAGCTGAATGTGGGATCTTGGTAGCTATGGAGATGGAGGCTGGAAGAAGATCTCTCAGGTCTACATCAGAGCTCACTCCTGAGTGAAGAAGATGGATGGAGTGAAATGCTGGAGAGTTGGGTTCTGGGGCAGAATCCATCCTTACAGTCAGGGTGGGCACAGACCCCTGGACAGTCTACAGGTGATATTCCAGTCCTGCAACCCCACCACACCACACACCATCTACAGTGAATTCGTGTTATCACAGGTCTAGTTCCAACACAATCTGGCTCCAGTTCCCCCCATGTAAACACCTGCTCTACAGATGATCCTCTCCATGCAGTGGAATCACACAGAAACATTCTTCTGGGGCCTTCCACGGCCCCTGAACCCATGTCATCTGACAGGAAAGCAGTGATAATATCCATGGTTCAGAAAATGTTAATAAGAGGATTGGTGCTGGGTGAAAGGGATCTGGAACCCAGGTGTGGGCACAGATGGAAATTATTATGATGATTCTGAAAAATTCTCTGACTGGCTCTTACGTTACTATCTGCATGTACAGCACCTAGCATAGTGGGGCCTCTAGGTGCTGCCAACATAAAACAAGGTGAGAACCCATTTGTAATTTTTCAGACTTCAGCACGAACTGTTGAAAGCTGGGCAAGGGAAGGAATCTAGCTCCCAAAGGACAGGCAGGGTGTGCCCAGCTCTGCAGTCCATTTGCTGGTGCTGCAATCCCAGCCCCGTGGCTCTCAGAGGGAGTGGGACAACAGCACAGAACCTCAGCAGGGTTGGTAGCCGATGG